GTCAGAAGCCTTGGTTGTTACTGACAATTTTCTGATGGCCAGTGGGAAGTTACTTCTGATTATACTTCGCAGTCCCCCAAAGTTCTCCCTATTACTGCAATGCAGCAGGGTACCCTTTGGACGAGTCTTCATAACCAGGGGAGGAACTGAACTTTAAAACAACAGGATTTGCTTTGTCAGTTGTAAGCACACTTTGAGTCAAAGCATTGCTTGGAGCATCAAGGAACAACATGCTGGAAGTCTCTTTCTCATTAGGCTTAGCTTGATGGAAATGCACTAAGCCTTTCTTTCTTGAACTCCTTTGCCCCTCTTCAGCGTCCTCTTTGGCCTCTTTACTATTACAGAAGCCTGCTGTTTGTTCAGGTCTCTTCAGTCCTCTGACGCATTTTCCTCTCTTGAGCCCAAATAACTTTTCAAGAGGGGACCACCAGAGGGCAAAGCCAGATCATGAAGATTTGAGCTCACGGCTGCTCTGTTCTGTAATCCAGCCTGTAGCATTTGTGAGCTACAATTCTCAGACTGGGCCTTTAGACCCCTGAACACCCACAGCTCATGCATTAAGTTTAAAAATGGTAATTATTTCCAAGAAAAAGAAAAAAAAATCTATCATTAAGAGAGGCATAGCATCTCCAGAATCAGAAATAAAAGGCCTCACAGTATAATTAGACAACAGCTTCATTAATTTGATACCTTTTACCGAGCTTGTGGGAATGTTATGCGTTTTCTTTAAGAAATTAAGAACAGTATGGGAAAAGTGTAAAGGATTATTCACACTTCAGCCCTCCATTTTGAACTCCTATTAAAAGAGATATTGCCCCATAGAAATCTCTCTCAGGAACAAAAAACCTCCGCAACTTCATCTCTACCATTTTTTTCTGAGTGATTCTGAAACTTGCACTCATTCTCCATTCAGCAAGATGCAGTCACCATTTTCATGCAGCTCATATGAAATTATTCTGATGTAACTAGCTGTCACAAGAGGAACCTTTCCTATTTAAACTTTTTTTTCCTATTTAAAATGGTAGCTGGATGATGCTCATTATTTGACATTTATCAGAAAGACTTAGAAAATATTTTTTTCCACAGAAAATGTTCGGTCCCAAAAATACATACATACATCAAATGATGAATGAACATGATCTTTTAAGAGAAGGTCTCATTGAAAGCAAACCAAAATTCACTTCTGTTTGCCCAGACTTCGGACACATCCCGTATCCCTGAATTATAACCCTGTGAGAGTTGTTTCCATTCTCCTTTTCTCCCTTGCTGTCTTCTAACATGTTTATGCTCTCTGTCGCTCTGTGCTGTCAAACAGAGGTAACTGTGTTCTGTGAACAGCCATTTGCTCTGCTCTAGTACACAAAGGCACAGACTGCCAAAATTTGTAGCAGGCCATCCTTCTTCTCCAACACAACCTTCCCTGACTTCAAGTTCATGTCACTCTGGATGTTATTCATAGTGAGAATAATTATAATTTAAAAAAAAAAAAAAAAAAAAGTTTATGAATCATCCCTGTTACTGTAACTCAAACTAATTTTATGAGCACATTTTTCCTTAAGCAGCAATGCCATCAGCAACCAGTCATGCACAGCAAAGGCAAGAAGTGGCTGTTGAATGCCATGAAGATCTCAGACCTACTTCTTCAAGCAACTCATAACCCCAGTACCACACACACTCATCATTGCAGCTTGTTCTCAGTCAGAATATATTAGAGCTGAGATGAACTCTAGCATTTTACTTCTCTAGCCTAAGCAGTGAGTCAGCCTGTTGATAGCACATTCCTTTTCCAGTCAGATGCATCACACTTCCATCAGCAACAGCACCAACATCTAGCACCCAAATCCTGTTCCAAATGAATGGAAGCAATCCCTTGGCCAGCAGAACTGAGAATCAGAAAGTCAGATACCAGGTATCAGAAAACAGACTGAAACCCAGATGGCTGGAAAATGGCAGTATTAGGAATCACTGCAAACAAATGGGCTGCTGAGCACACAGTCTGGAAAATGATCCATCTGATACTCATTCCAGAGGGCACCCAGGCGTTTAACATCTATGAATGGAAAGTGTTATGATGTCCAGTTCACACATGGCCACATGGCTTTTGGTCTGACCACACTAAAGAATTGCTCCTGCAGGTACCTTGTAGGGTACTTTCCTGAAGCAGGCCCTCCAAACCCTTCTTCAAGCTGCTAGGCTTGAGACAAGGACAAAATTGTAAAGTACTAAAAGACTAGATTCTAAGAATCCAAAAATTCTTCATTCACCCAGAGGAAAGCTGCTTCAGAGATAAACCATGCTGAAAACCTTAACAATTCCTTGCTCTGTGGTACTGATCTGAGCACGTTTTCACAAGAGCCACACTGGGAATCTTAGTCTTCCCTGGGCAACCTTCACTCTTCAGCTTCTTGGAGAAGAGATACCACACAACACCAGAACTCTCCAAAATGTTTGTCCAACCATTAAAGTTACATTACAGTACACTGAGAGAACTTTTACCAAAATATACACTTTAAACTTCAACATTAGTTTTCAGTAATTTTAGCATTCAGGGACAAAATACTGGACTGCTTATTTTCAGGCTAATATTGTACTTCATGGCTCTTTAAAAATACAGCAGTGTAGGTAGCAACTACATATAGTCTTTTTATAATAAGGAAATACATTTGGGGATGTGCCATTGTAAAATTGAACTAGTATTTTCAAAACATTTAAACAATCCTTTAACCTTTATCTTTGTAAAAAAAATAAAATCTTCTAACTTACATTCCTAGCAGTTTTAAAATTTATCAATGACATTCTGAAAGGAATCTAACACATCAGAGAAACTATACTAATGGACAACGTTGTTTTTTAATTATCTCCTCCTTTTTTAATATTATTTTGTTCTCGTGTGAACTTATGTTTATTGTTTTAGGGATACCCTCCTGCTGATTATTACTCATTTCACCATGACATAACTGTTAGCATTGCTATGAAGAACAATCTGGCACTGAGATCAGCAGGAACAGGACATTAAAAGTCACCACATATCTTGGTTTGGAGCAATAATTTTTTGCATTGAAAAAAAGTTAAAATATATCAGAAGATCACTACAAGACAGTTTTAGGAAGATCCAGAAATTTTTCATGTTTGTAATTGCTTGGAATGAGCTTAGAAAAATAGTTATCTATCAGACTATAAAAAAAAAAGTAGGATAGTTAAAATAAATATTAGATATAATTTCAAGTTACTACAGAGGTTTCTTCGGGATCAAGAGACTACTAACCATTTCAGTGCTCAGTTTGTCTTAAGCTCTCCCACCCACATCCTTTTCAAAGACAGCAGGACACCAAACAGTGTAAACAACATTTAGGGATTTATTTAGGGATTTAAGAATCCTTCTGAAGGAGTAGTTAAGCCTCAGAGCAATTTGAGAACCACTGGACTTTTTGCAAGCTGGGGAAGCACTCCTGGATGTCTTCAGCTCCCCAGGTATATTTTATGATGCGAGATCCTCTGCATCTCTGCCTTTGATGCTGCACTCAAGCAAGACAGACTTTGTACTTCCATGTATCCCAAATATTTGTGCTTTAAAACCTGAGATAAAGTGGAAAAGACCAAGATAACACAATTCATATTTCATCTCCAAAATAATGTTACCATTTTAAGTCATCAATAGGTGGCTTAAGTGAGGTAGACAGACTCTTCTCGGTGTAAATAAAACAACTTGTTTCCAGCAAGCCTCAAACCTGGAATGCAAGTCCTCACTTTGCTGCACCAGACTGATAAGACAGAACTTTCATGTTATGTAACATTTTCTTGTCTAGCTCCTGCTCTCTCCACTGCAGCTTCTGCTGCTCCCACTCATAACTACTATCAGGTATCATCTCTCAGCACTTACCTTACTTAGCAGTACCTCTAAACCAAGAGTGCTGACAAAGTCGTGGTATGGAAAGCAAAGGAAGCACATCTAACCACAGTGAAGTTCACCTTTTAAAAAGTAGTAAGATCACTTACCATAGTAGGAAACCCCTTCCAAATTGCCTGATCTGGGAAAATTCATATTATTGGTATGGTTTTAGTTATATCCGAATATGTTCAATTTAAATAAATTTCACAAGAAAAGTTACATGATTGTATTATTTAATTATTTCACAATAGAGATAACCAGAAATTTTAGACTGTTAAATTTTAAGGTACAAAGCAATAGCAAAATTAAATTGCAGATGAAAACATCACATTCGTATACAACAATGAAATCCTTTGTTCATAGTCCTCAATGGAGTAAAGCAACAGAATTCCAAAGACATTTGTATATGCCTTACATAACAGGATTGAGAGCAGAGCAAGGTGCCATTTTGTCTGAAAGATATTTCCTATTCTGTGCAAAAAATTTCTGAAGAGGTAGAAAATCTCTGTATGTGACACAGTGCCGAACGGCACACGCTCAGTGTACACAATCTGTGTACACAAAACTTTCAACAAGCAGAATACAGAAGGCAAGAAACTAAATTATGCTCTTTCATAGTTTCAAGAACATAGCTTTTGTTTATTCTTTTTTTATTATTTAAGCATTGGGAACTAATTATCTGAGTTCTATTACTTGAAACTCTGTGGTAGTTTTGAATCTCATCTTTTCAATTCCACAGACAGCATCAATTCATTTAAGAGATATGAAACCTGTCTGTATTCATTATTTTTCTTTCCTTCGAAAAACAAATATCAGAACAGATTATAATTGTGTGATACAGCGTCTCCAGAGCCCTGATTCTGCATCAGAGGGGAAGATTGCTATTTCCAGGCATTTGTGAATTCACAGTCATTCTACTCCACAGTGTGCCTGGTCTCTGAGGAAACTAATGAAAGAGATTTTCTATCCAGATTTCTCCAGCTGTTACTGTCTCCGTAGACTATGAAGGAGCAATCCCAATAGCTGAAATCAACTTTAAAAAAATTAAAAATTTACCAACGGTGAAACTCTTGCTTCATTTCAGTACATTTAAATAGAATGAGAGACTCACCAAATTCACCTGCTTATTCTTCATTTGGGCAGCCAACTCTCAGCAAATGAAATGCTATGAACCCAGCTGCCTTCCCCTCATTCTGGGAGATGCAGGAGATGAAACAGGTTCAAGCCAATCAGCAGAGCACAACACTGGTGCATTTCTGCAGCAGGGAGGTGGAAAAAGAAGGAGTGGAGGGAAAAGAGTCAACCCTCACAGCAGTTTAAGAGTTCTTGCATGTTGTTATTGCTGCAGGTTCCTGTGATTGGCTTTAGCTGATCTCCCCTCCTCTGACATTACTGCCTGTTGAGCTGGAGAGTGCAAAGGAAGACTAATCACTGCACGCCTTGAGCTGCCTCCTGCAATAAACCCTGGTGTTTTATCAACTGCGGAGACAATCAATACCTGGGGAGAAAGAAGTTTTGCCAACTGTCACCTGAGATAAAATGATCAATTTCCTAATTCTAGTACTAATGCTGGCTTCAAAGCCCGATGATAATTATCCCAGCTGCTTTTAAAACAATCTCTGAATGACACTGATCGTGATTATTAAAAATGGTGTGAAAGGCATTGTGGCACGTGAGTTCAATGGGTCTATTTATAGATTAATTTTCCTCTGTTTATCGAGTCATGTTGCATTCATGAGGGGATAAGAGTTCTCCCTTATGAGAAGAGCTTCCCCTTTTCCTAGTAGGTATCATTACTTGCTGGATGCATAAATTGGCAAACCTTTCACACTAATGGCAAACTACAATAAAACAGTTGGTTACTTAACAATTCACGTTATTTATTTATGGCTGAATAAATAGACTGTAGTGAATCAGCTTTGCCAGTGTCACATGGGGACTGAGAATATGCTGTTTTCTAACATCTTGAGGGATATGTGTTATCAGACAAAGCACCCCTACAGCCTGAGCTCTGCTTTCAAGTGCTGCTCATTGTGCTCAAAAGCAACGAGTTCATCAGATCATTTCACTCCTTTATAAACAGACCAAGGAGCTTTAAGAAATTTCAGGAGAGGAGAAAAAAAATTACACTTTATTACTAAAGCTTGTCTCAGTGCAACTTCACACAAGCCTCAGAAAATTGTATAACTTACAAAAGAATTAAAACCTTATTCTGTGATCAGAAGCAAATATATAGAGGAGATATTTTTTACCTTGATCATATGCGATTATTATTATTATTATTATTATTATTATTATTATTTCAAATATGGAAAGACTCTGCAACTCAGTAAGCTCAGACCTGTGCTTGTTTTCTCTGTCAGTTTCTGAGACTTGATAAAGTTCCTTAAATACCTCCATTCTTATTTTGACCTGAAAATTTCCTGGACAGTAAGAAGTTACAAGAATATCAGGTTCAGGTTTGATACACAGTCCTGACTGTGACACTCAGCTAGCTCTTCTGTCTCAGCTTCCTTAGCAGTTGCCTCTGCTACAAGTTATGTATCAGATCACCTCTATGCCTCTTGGTAAGATTTCTGTCTGTTCAGAACATGCTGGCAAATGCTGCTTTCTTTTGAAACAGCAGTTGAAGGTTATCTATAGGAGGAGAACTCTGTCAGTTGACAGGGTCACCTGATATATACCACAGAGCCAGACTCAGTTCTGTTCTCTGCTCCAGAGGACCTAAGTCTTCTCCTTGTTTTCAAAGCAGAGTTCCATAGCAATCTCATTGCAATGTGTTGGTTGAGAGTCCTGTTGGAATTTTGAGAGTAGGAAAAAGTGATGCAGGAAGTTCAAGTGTTCTGGAGAGCATTCTCACATTAAAGGCTGTTATGTATTTTATAACCCACATTTGTTGTCCAGTGACTTCTTAAGCACGAAAGATACAGAAAATCCCAGAAAACAGGACCAGAGTCCATCTTTGTGAGAGAAATCTCCAGTGCTCACTCATGGAATAGTGCCTGCTCTTGCAAATTGCTCCTTGGTCCCATCGGACCTTGAACATTTTCTAATTATAGAGAAGACACGAGGCTCTCAACTCCTCCTGCTGATCCCCGGGTGCCCGCATGCAACTGCCACTGGTCTGTGGCACTCATTTAGCAGCATCCACTCATACACACATGAATCTCTAGCTGTGGATTTCCACAGCAGATTAAAGAGCTGAGCCAGTGCTCTCCATTTCTAAGGAGAGCCTGTACTACACAAAGTGAGATTTAAGTAGAACTTTCTGTACCTATAGACTGAAAAGGATACTCAGACTAAGTCCAGCCAACTGTTATTTCAGAGCAGTGTATATTGCTGCAGCCTTGAGTGCATCTGAACATTTGGAGGCTGTAATGGAAGTCCCAGTTCCCAGATCAGTATGTTGTTCCTAATTAGCTTTTGGCTATGATATTTAAGGACAGTTTTCTCAGTCTAGGTTGCTTTAAAACAAAACTATAAAGTTTGTTAAGAAAAGCTAAATAATACAGCTTTTTCATTAAAGTGAAAAGCTAAAGTACAAACTTTAAAACTGAGATTAACTCTACCACTTTAAATATGTGTAAAATGTGTAGTGACAATTCAGTTCTCTGGTCAAGTCATCATTTTGGCAATGAAAGAAAATTCTATTATTTAGAACATATTTTTTTTTCCCTGTCATTCAGTAATATCTGGCTTTCAAATAATTTTGTTATGTTGCATGTTATTATTTAAGTATTAGTTTTCACTTGCATGCATATATATTGCAGTAAAAAAAGAAATAGAAAAACTTTAGGTTTTTTAAATGGTTGTATATGCTCTTCAATTTTTTTTTGTGGGCTGACTTTTAAATTGTTTGGTTTGTAGTGTAAACAACATACTAATAATGAGTGGTCAAACCTATTAGTCACTGAAATTAAATGTGAAAGAAAGTGACATGGTACATTGGTCCAGAGCAAAGAAACATAGATTTCTTTTAACAGCTATCTGTATGTAAATGATAACGCAATAAATACCTACACTTGCATGGAGCTTAAAACAATTTCTGCTCTCTTTGAGGATGACACTTCTCCTGCAAGCAGCAGGGCAACTCCTCTAGAACTTCATAAACTGTGCTGATTTCCTACACTGATAGTAGTGACATGCAGAGAAAGCATAACACAAGAGGTAGCACGACAACATGACATGCAAAAATGTCTGCCACCCATACTTTTTATTTTTTTTTTACAAACCTATGGTTTTATTATGATATAAAAATGATATGATATCATATGATATAGGTCTATTAAATTTCTGGTTACATACATGTGCACATATAAAATCTAATCTTCTACAATGTCTCTTACATCCTTCATCAGCTAACAAGTTTTGGAGCCACCAATAGTGAGTGTAAAACCTTGAAATAATCATAGTAGATACTGAACTGCAATCAAAAAGGTTTGAGTTAAAATAATAATAATAATAATAATAATATATAAATAATAATAATAAATAAAATAAATAATAATAAAATAATTAAAATGTGGTAGTTGTTTTACAAAAGTATATGCTAGACTTGGATCTGACCATGTTCTCGAAGAGTCATCTGCCATAATCATGTAACTAGAACATGCGACATTATGCTGAGTAGCTGACTTACTTAAGACTTACTCAGTGACAAAAGTCATAAAGATGAGTCTTCTTCTTTTGTAGGCTGTACAACTACTGTCAATGACAACTAGCTCTGAAGGCATTTTACATGCCATGGTGTCATGCTTTACTTCTGTTGGCTTATGCTGCTACTGCATGTCATAATTAAGACAATATCAGTGTAACATTTCAGCATGGTTTATGAAATTGCTAGAATTTGTTTGACTTAGAACATTCTCAAAATTGAAATGGAAGACCTCAAAGTAAAAGTTCAAAAATAAATGAAAGTAACTCTTATTGTTGTTGTTTATTATATTTATTTTCCTACTAGTTACCAGCTACTCAATGACTTTTATTAATTCTTTAATTCTGAACTCTTGCAATTATTATTTTTTTTTTTTCCACAGAGGCTTAAACAGCAATAAAGTCAAGTAGAAAAGATCAAACAGCAATAAGGTCAAGTAGAAAAGATTAATATATCTGCCCCAAAACCTTTCATATTTCATCAAATCCTTTTCCTAAAAAAAAAGATTTGAAAGACATCTGAGACCAGTTGCTATAGTAATACAGTTCGAGAAAGCCCTGTGTTGATGTTGTATATGTGGAGTAGAAACACAGAGAGGAAATGAGCCGGTTTGTTTTTCCATGTGCAGCAGGGCCAGCCTGCACAACTGTAATAAATGAGCAAAAAATGTCACAGATTGGTTGCCAGTTGGAGGTGGGTGGAGTGGGAAGTGAATAGAGAAGAAACAGGTCAGATCTGCGCAGCAAAGTTGGGGGAGGGTGTAAATAATGACTATATATATTATAATTATCTCATCAGTTACAAGGGAAGGTATCAAGAAGAGAAGGGCAGCCCAGCCCACTAATTTGGCCAAGCCTCTTGCTTGCTCTTCTCAACTCCTCAGCCCAATTCTGGCAGCAACCTGAAAACTCATTTCAAAGCCTTTGCAGCCAAACTTTACCAGCTGCAGATGTCATTTTGTCTGAAAAATAAAGCTGGCAAGCAGGCAAAATTTTCTTGGCTAGCGTGAACAGTTGTTTTCCTTTCCCCATTTTCCCACTCAATTTTAATACTTTCAAAGGTTTCCTTTAATGTCCAACAAACAGTGAAACAAGCATCTTTCTCATTATAAAAGAAGGGAAAAAACAAGTATGTGATAGCATTGAGGATCTCTATAGTGCAAAAGACTTTTGTTTGATGCAGTAGGTCCTGAAGTTTGTTTTGCCAGACTGCAAACTTCTCCCACACACTGGCATTCATGCAAGCTGTGGCTATGAAGACTCACACTTTTGAAAAGCTCCCACTCAGGTGAAGCTCAGGAAAACAGGACAGGTGGGGCTTCAAGAAAAACTTGTGTCCAAAACAATGAATTATTTTGAAGGCAGGCATTCAAGATAATAATACTGGTCTGATAGTCCAGGAGAAGATAATAAAACAAGGAGGAAAGATGGTTTCCCAATACAGTTTTCTTATTTGATTGCATGACTGATCATAAAGAAAAATTACTGAGAAGGATAAGGAAAAAAAGAGAGAAAATATGACTCTGCACCTTGGAGAAGAAACCTTGGAGGACTGGAGAGTCTAGACTCCATGGGGAATTTCTGACCCATGCCCAAGAGAGTTGGAGAAGCTCAGATAAGCAAAATGTTTGTAGGGGT